AACACGGTTGCGTGCTGTATTAAAGCTTTAATCAGGATAAAACCGTATATTAGAAGCTAACATAAGCAGTAGCATTTACAAATAACAGCGTATCTCAAAGTATGAGACAACAATTAACAAAAAACATACTATTAAGAGCCGTGTGCTTGCACAGGTTCTACGCAATCTTCTTCACTAATATCCTCTGCATCTCATTCAGGCTCAAATTAATAAGCAATATTGATGACGGCTTTGTTTACAATACAACACTGGAGCACATTCTGAGCTGAGGGGCGTGGCTTTTAGATGCACACTAGAGGCGGTTTAGCCAATCACAACACACTGGGCTAGCTAACCAATCAGAGCCCATCATGTATTTCTGAGGGAGGGGCTTCATAAAAACAGGAACTCATCAGTGTGTTTATCAGAGAACGGACAGAGTGGTATAGAACAAAGGAAAAAATAACGTGTTTTTAAAAAAAACGAAGCATTAACATGTTAGACTGCACCCCATAAACACAATCAAGCCTAGGAAAAAAACAGTGAACCACCCCTCTTTAAGATTTTCTCCTAAATCGGCAAGTTATGAGCTACTTTTAGCCTTAAGATGTTTTGTGAATACGGGCCCTGGTTAGGAATCTTGGCCTGTTCACCTTGTGCTCCGTGGTTCTGCGATGCTCCATGACGTTGGTGGTGAAGTGCGTCTGGCAGGTGGAGCACCATCTCTGCAGACCCGGTCTCTTCTCACTGCAACAGCACAGAAAGACGTTCAGAAAGACAGGCGGCGTGAAGCGTGAAAACACACTGGTGCATCAATCGCTCTTGCAACATGAAGACAAAAAGGAGCACACTTTCAGTTATGAGTTGTGCGACTTTAAACATAGTGTGTGCATTTCAGGAAAGATAACTGAAATTTTCCTCTTCAACTAAGATCTGCTGTTCATTTTCTGGAATATTAACTAGTAATGCACCAAAACTTTGCCAACCTGAAAAATGCATTTTCAGTGAATGGGTGCTGTCAGAATGAGAGTCCAAACAGCTGATAAAAACATCACAATAATTCACAGCACTCCAGTCCATCAGTTAACATCTGGAGAAGACAAAAGCTGAAACACATCCAGCATTAAGACGCTTTTAACTCAAATACATTGAGTCTATAATCCATAATAACTCTTCCTCCAGTGAAAAAGTGCATCTGCTGTTGTCTCTCACATCAAAATCCAGCCACATATGTGTTTAGAGCTGTTTAAACGCTGCAGATTTCTCTCCTGATTCACACCAGAACACTTTTTCACTGGAGGAAGCCTTATTATGGATTATGGACTCAATGGTGTTTTAGTTAAAAGCGTCTTAATGCTGGATTAGTTTCAGCTTTTGTCTTCTCCAGATGTTAACTGATGGACTGGAGTGCTGTGAATTATTGTGATGTTTTTATCAGCTGTTTGGACTCTCATTCTGACGGCACCCATTCACTGCAGAGACACTGATGCAGTGCTACATTTCTCCAAACCTGATGAAGAAACAATCTGGGATGGCCTGATTCCCTTAAGCTAGTGAAGCATAAATGCATCAGAAACTCTGACCTGTCTCTGCGAGCTCCTTCCAGGGACTCCTGAACTCGCGGCAGCAGCGTGACGAGACACGCGTTGCTCATGTGCTGGATCTCCATCATCTTCTGCTGGTGCGTCAGTCCGTTCATATGGCTCTGGAAACTCTGCACAGTTACATTTACAGTTATGCATTTAACAGACGGGTTCATCCAAAGCGACTTGCAAAAGAGGAACAAACTGCTTTTTATCAGTGAGGGTTATGAAACGCAACATGATTAATGCAAAGCTAATATATCAGGTCATGTAAACAATTAAAGCAGAGCGATATCAGAGGAACATACTTGCTGGTTATGGCAAGTGATGTTGCAAATATAGCAGAAGAACTTGTTGGAGGTCTCTGCTGCTGCGTCTCTGCGCTCCTCAGGAGTGTCTGTGGTCTCCTTGATCTCAGGGACCGAATCGGAGCCTGCGGCGGCGTCTGGACCGTCGCTGATCTGCTGCTCGACGTCTTTATCTGGAGCTTCTGTGCGTTCAACCTGCTGAAGATCAACAAACAAGACACATTCTGACATCAACTGAAGCTTGAGTTCCTCCTTCGGTGTGCATCTGTGTGATTGTTTCGGCTGGTTTATGGTGAAACAGTGTATCTGGTCACTTAGATCACACAGAGATGATGGTACAAACCTCTGCCGCTTGACTCGGTTCATCCGCTTCAGCATCCAGCGCTCCGTTCACGCTGCCTCCCTCCTGCAGAGAGAGCTCTGAAACACATCAGATCCCTCACTGGAAGAGCATTCACATCACCATACGCTCAGCCATATAGAGCATTATGTGGTGTTCATGTGGTTTTACATGTCACACACGTATTATAGGTAATATATAGTTATTATACACGACCGGTCAAAAGTTTGGGATCAGTAAGCCTTGAAATGTTTTTAAAGAAGTCTCTTCTGCTCATCAAGGCTGTGTTTATTTGATCAAAAATACAGTAAAAAACAGTAATCTTGCAAAATGTTATTACAATATAAAATAATGGTTTCTATTTGAATATCCTTTAAAATATAATTTATTTCTGTGATGCAAAGCTGAATTTCCATCATCATTACTCCAGCATAAAGATCACATGATCTTCAGAAATCAGTATAATATGCCGATTTATTATTAGAATTATCAACAAATATATTTTTTGGAAACTGTGATATTTTTTCAGGATTCTTTGATGAATCAAAAGATAAAAAGAACAGCATTTATCCAAAATATAAATCTTTGCTATCACTTCTTATCAATTTAACACATCCTCGCTGAATAAAAGTTTTAATTTCTTTCAAAAAAAAGAAAGAATAAAAATGTACTGACCCCAAACTTTTGAACGCTAGTGTATATTGTTAGAAAAGATTTCTATTTTAAATAAATGCTCTTCTTTTTAACTTCTTATTCATCAAAGAATCCTGAAACAAAGTATCACAGCTTCCAAAAAAATATGAAGCAGCACAACTGATGATAGATTAGCATATTATAGTGATTTCTGAAGATCATGTGACACTGAAGACTGGAGGAATGATGCTGAAAATACAGCTGCGCATCACAGGAATACATTACAGTTTAATGCATATTAAAATAGAAAAAGGAACGGCTGAATCATACTGAAAAATACTTGAGGCTGTAAAGGTGCTTCAGCTAAGTACGGAGTTAAGGGTATGAATACTTATGCAATGTATTTATTTCAGTTTTTTATAAATTCACAAAGTTGTGACAGTTCTGTTTTTGCTTTGTCATTATGGTGTATAGATTGATGTGGAAAAAAAGTCATTTAAAGCAGTTTAACATAAGGGTGCAACATAAAACGTGAAAAAACGAAGGGGTTTGAATACTTTCGCAAGACACTGTATGTGCAACATTTCTCATTTTCATGTAGTTTAACTTGGTGCGCTACAGTAACAAATGCAAAAACTGAAAAATAAAACAAACTATATAGACATAATAGGAAAACAACTACTAAAATGGCAAAAGGCACAAAAAATTACTAAAACTTTCAAATGAAAATGTAAAATCTAAAAATTAAAAACTAATACTGAAACAACACTATCATTCCTGGTTAGGGCAATTTAACAGGTCAATAACATATTTTTACTGAAAAACTGGTGTTGACATGCTTTAACATTCCTCCATTGTAATGGCATTATTGCAAATAAATGTTGTTTTTAAACAAATGATTTTATCACCGACAGCCGGTCACAGATGTGATGCATGCTGAAAAGGCCAGAATATTGCTTGAACAGGGTTTAATCAGGTGAACTCCTCCCTACCTGCAGGATCTGGGCTCTTAAACTCAGCACTTAGAGCCGATTCTGTCTCCACAGGCTCCTCTGACCTGCACAAACACACAAAACACATGATTTCCCCATTCAAACGCACCAAAAAACTGATCAAATCAGCCTTCATTCTTAATGAAAGGAGTCAGGAGTGATGTGCAGAATGAATAGGTCCCAACTAGAAAGTAAATGTTGCCTTTAAGGACATTTCTGACATGAATACAGAGACGTAAAGGCACTGACTCTTGCGTTTTGTGTTTTTTGGCCGCTGGTTCGTCGGGCTGCTCTGAAGACTCCTGACATCCCGGATCTGCTGTTCACATCAAAACACAAATGCTTTATGATTTATGGCCATCAAAACTCTACATACTCTTCAAAAACAATCATTCAAGTCTGAAAAGATAAGATTATAACAGCTCTAAACATTCTATTGCATAACTTTTTGTTGAATAGTGTTGAAATGTACTTTGTATTTTTACGTTTTTAAACTTCCCAATATAGCACATTTGCAAAAGAAGTGTTATAATCAGAGATATTCTACTTCGCATATATTTAATTAATAAAATATATGAATATATAAATATATTTCCTATATTTTAAACTCATTACGTATTGCATATTTTGTGCATTTGTTTATTTCACATGCATAAAATAAATAGTCTGATTTGATTATTTTATTGGGTGTATGTGGATTGCATATGTTCATGTATTTATTACACAGCACCGCATAAAAAAAAATCTGCTGATATGCAAAAAAATATCTAATTTGATGATGCACAGTTAAAAAATATGAATAAAATTTCCATCATGCCACAAAATAATGAAGATTTGTTTAAACTATATGTATGTATCAGCTTTAATGCACATGTTTCAAGTTTTGATTTTAATGATACAAACGTGTTCAAAATGTATCATTTAACTTGCAATCCTCAAAGGAGTGGAAACATATTTAAACACTACTTAATGTCAAAGAACGTTACAATGAACACAAGTTTATAAATCAGCTTTTCACAAAATCTGTGATCTTCTGTGGATGTCTGGATGCAGTAAAAGCAGAAAAACATCTGTGTTATGTTTGCATTTTCTTTTGTTGCTGGCCATAGCTCTAACCTTGAAATCAGGATAAAACAGTAATGTGAAAAAGAACATAAAATAATGTGAAAAAAGTGTACAGATAGTTGTAATCTGGCTTAGATTCAGACGGGCATCATCGTGTCTTTGTGGTGTTTTTCTGCTGATTAAGGGAGAATTCGAGACTTCTTCACCGTACAAATGGTCGTTAAAAGCAAAAATGCATCGTTTGTGACCTGTGCTGTGCAAAATGAGTCACAATGAGCAAATCTGAGTCGACAGATTCTGTCAATACTCAGAAAAATTGACTTTTCCAAGAAAAATCACCCAGCAACATTGCATCTTTTCCTCCAGTTCTTTTCTTAACAATAATTATTAAAAATCACAATATAGCCGTTTCTTATTTTATCTTTGTTAGTATAAAAGAACAGATGCAAAAAAAACAATACAACAAATATAAGAAAGAAACATAATGCTTCTCCCTTTTCATTTTACATCAAAACGAAAGCATTCAAGTAAGAAAAACAAATAATCATTTAACTTGCAATCCTCAAAGGAGTGGAAACATATTTAAACACTACTTAATGTCAAAGAACGTTACAATGAACACAAGTTTATAAATCAGCTTTTCACAAAATCTGTGATCTTCTGTGGATGTCTGGATGCAGTAAAAGCAGAAAAACATCTGTGTTATGTTTGCATTTTCTTTTATTGCTGGCCATAGCTCTAACCTTGAAATCAGGATAAAACAGTAATGTGAAAAAGAACATAAAATAATGTGAAAAAAGTGTACAAATAGTTGTAATCTGGCTTAGATTCAGACGGGCATCATCGTGTCTTTGTGGTGTTTTTCTGCTGATTAAGGGAGAATTCGAGACTTCTTCACCTTACAAATGGTCGTTAAAAGCAAAAATGCATGCGAAATGCATCGTTTGTGACCTGTGCTGTGCAAAATGAGTCACAATGAGCAAATCTGAGTCGACAGATTACGTCAATACTCAGAAAATTTGACTTTTCCAAGCAAAATCACCCAGCAACATTGCATCTTTTCCTCCAGTTCTTTTCTTAACAATAATTATTAAGAATCACAATATAGCCGTTTCTTATTTTATCTTTGTTAGTATAAAAGAACAGATGCAAAAAAAACAATACAACAAATATAAGAAAGAAACATAATGCTTCTCCCTTTTCATTTTACATCAAAACGAAAGCATTCAAGTAAGAAAAACAAATAATCAAATGTAAAAATCACTCTTTAGTGTGTTCATTACATTATTAAAACGACAAAAGCAGCTCAATCAAGTGCAGCGAATGATTCCCTCTTTTCTTTCATCGTTAGATTAACATTAATGAGCTGATATATATAGACCTTCTGTATGCACGGATCTAATATAATGTTACACATCAGATGTCTTTATGTGAATATTTGAATACTGTAATTCTGTGTATATTTATCGGGAACGCATGCTTTGAATAACAGTCGTTGCGAGAAGCGAGAGGAGACAAACAATGATCATTTTAGATGTTTCATTACTATTTAGAGCATTGCGATTGCTAGAAGAGGGCTTAATTAACTCATTTTTGTGAAAACCTCAAATTCGACATTTTTCACTTTCAGCCCGTGCACATTCACACTCATTTTGCCAGCACGGGTCACATATTTAGTGAGAAAATGTGACATGCAAGACCACTATTTTTTTGGAATCGGCAGCACAAAATTAGTAAGAAACAAGTGTTTCATTCAGCAGATCTGTGTCCCTGCAGCACAAAAGCAGTGTTAAGTCGCTGGGGGATATTTGCAGCAATAGCCAACAATACATTGTATGGGTCACAATTATACATTTCTCTTGTATGCCAAAAATCATTAGGATATTAAGTAAAGATCATGTTCCATGAAGATATTTTGTAAACTTCCTACCGTAAATATATCAAAACTTAATGTTTGATTAGTAATATGCATTGCTAAGAACTTCATTTGAACAACTTTAAAGATGATTTTCTCAATATTTAGATTTTTTTGCACCCTCAGATTCCAGATTTTCAAATATTGTCCGATCCTAACAAACCATACATCAATGGAAAGATGATTTATCCAGCTATCAGATGATTTATAAACCTCAATTTAGAAAAATTGACCCTTACGACTGGTTTTGTGCTCCAGGGTCACATATGATGCAGGGCTGTATAATGTATAAAAGGTTTTTTTTCAGTGTTTTGTCTAAAACATTCCTTCTTTTCTGTTACGGTTACATGATTTCTGTATATATTTGGTTCACGCACAACTGTTACAATTACCTCTGCTGCTGCTGCTGGCTTCTGATTGGCCGTCGCTGCTTCCCGCAGATCTCTGCTCGTTTTCCCTCTTTCTGTCCGGCTGACGAGCCTGAAACTCCTGTGTGCGTTCAGTTAGCAAGAGAGCCACAGATTTACCAAACACAGCGGGCAAAATAAGCATTGAACACGTCACCATTTTTCTCAGTGAATATATTTCTAAAGGTGCTGTCGACATGAAATTCTCACCAGATGTCGGTAACAACCCAACTAATCCATACATAGAAATAAGTTCAGAAATTAAGTTCTGTGTAATAAAATGCAATGACACAGGGACAAAGTATTTATGTATGTATTGTATGTATGGATTAGTTGTGTTGTTACCGACATCTGGTGAACATTTCAAGTCGACAGCACCTTTAGAAATATATTCACTGAGAAAAATACAAAAAAATTTTTCAAAAAAAAGTTGAAGACACACACTCACGTTGGTGAAATAGCGCGTGTGAGGCTTGAAGTGCCGCGGGAATCCCATGTGCGGGGTTTTGATGGCGACTCCCATCGGAACGGGCCCCAGAAGAGACGCTCTGGAGCCCGCAGTGAAGAACTGAGGAAACTGCTGGCCTCCCATCGCAAAGCCACGCATGCCGCCCGCTTCACACAGGACCACAAACACCAATATAACAGTCAATACAACACAGGGGCAAGACAAGAGCTGAAGCATACCAAACTCATGTCTACAGCATTTCCCTGACCCTCAAATCACAAAAATAAACTTCGATTTTGGATCAAATAACTGTATTAGAGATATGAGAATCACTACAAAGAATAATGTGATAAAGTACAAATAAATTCAAAAGTAAAATGTCTGGATGCCTTGCAGAAACGCTACAAATAAAAAATAACTTCCTGGAATATTTTACATTTATTTTATGCATTATTAATGTGTAATTGTCTCTGAATAAATAAACAAAATGAACAAATACTTAATTAAAGGTTTTAGAAAGCAGCTTAAAATTTGCTTTGATTTCGAGGTGAAACCAATTATATTTACTTGATAACATATTACTAATTATACAGTGCATCTATGCATCTAATGCAGGTTATCAAGAGAGTACTACTTGAAAAGAAAAAATGTGTTTTGTCAATATCAGAGCTATTACATCAACTAAAAATACAACTTTTAATTCCTTGAAATGAAATAAATCTAAAATAACATTTAAAATATACAAAACGCATTTGTTTCAGCTAGTTGACAAGTCAACATTTTCATTTATATTTTTGTTTAATTTAAAATAAATAAGTAATATTTTTTAACGCATTACGGAATGAACAAAATTACTCAAAATTCACCTAAAATTAAAATCATAATATAAAAATAAAATCTAATTCAAAATACTAACAAACTTTCATAGAATATCAATACTACTAATTTAACAAGGGTCAAATATAAGGGTCAATTGAAATAAGGGAAATTGAGATTTATAAGCTTTGAATAAATAATCTTTCCATTGATGTATGGTTTGTTAGGATCGGACAATATTTGAAAATCTGGAATCTGAGGGTGCAAAAAAATCTAAATATTGAGAAAATCATCTTTAAAGTTGTTCAAATGAAGTTCTTAGCAATGCATATTACTAATCAAACATTAAGTTTTGATATATTTACGGAAGGAAACATACAAAATATCTTCATGGAACATGATCTTTACTTAATATCCTAATGATTTTTGGCATAAAAGAGAAATGGATAATTATGACCCATGCAATGTATTGCTGGCTATTGCTACAAATATCCCCCAGCGACTCAACACTGCTTTTGGTCACATACAGTGCGTGCTATATTAGGAAGCATGAGTTTACCCTGCATCTGCTGCATGAGCAGCGCCCCCTGCAGCATGGGGTTGGGAGCGATGATGGCCTGCGTGGCTGAGCACAGGTTGACCATACGAGCAGAAGCAGAAGCCATGGGCCTGAAAAACACAAACACAGCGCAGATAATAAAGAGTAAGAGATTTGGAGCGCACTGGTGGAGAGTGTGAAGAAAGCGGAGGGTCTGAGGTTGAATGTGTACCGTGTGTGTGTGATGTGACGGGCGGGCGGAGGCTGCGGTGGAGGAGGAGGAGGAGGAGGCGTCTGCTGCTGAAACAGCTGCTGAAGCTGCCGCAGATGCTGATGAAACTGCTGCTGCTGCTGCTGCTGCTGGTGATGCTGGTGAGGGTTAAACATGCTGACGAGACTCACTACAGCCAGAGAAAACACACACATAACACACTTTAACATGCACACAACATTACATTCCTGCATTTAATAGATGCTTTTATCCAGAGAGGAGCAAAGTGATTGATACATTAATAAATGTAAAACGATTGATCAATAGACTATTTTTCATTGTAACATATTACTTATGACTAGAACACGATATGATGTCAACATCGATGATGGAAGCCCATTTCCAAAACAGAATTTAAAAAATAAATTTATTGCACAATTTTGTGTTTACGTCTCTCAATTCTGGCTTTTTTTTGTGCAAGATATAAACACAGGTAACACTTTACTTAAAGCCTTTATGCATTTTAAAGGGGCATTAATGTAGGGGTGTGCGATATATATCGTCTGCGATAATATCGTAATTGTTGTTTTAACGATGTGCGATTTGACATTATCGAGTATTTTGCAAAAACCATTCAAAACATCTCTACAGAGCGCACGCGTACATCACGTGAAGTCTAGACTAGTGCGCGTGCGCATTTAGTGTGTGTTCTTTCACTGCGTGATTCAATCTATTAAAATGCATTTAGAATGATCACAAATTCAAGACATGACGACAGACATTATTTATGCATTTGTAATTGCAGGTGAAATGCATTCGTGTCTTGCATTAAACAAAATACATGCGTGTAAACGCGTCTAAATGCAGCTTCAGATGCAGCGTCTGTGTGGATTTAATTTGCTCGGTAACAGCCCAGATGTCTTATTATTCTAATTCTCTGATTAAACGTAAGAATTTGACTCAGAAGATAATGGATACTTTTAGAAAAAATGGCTTTATGAAGGTAAGAATGCCCATAAAATGCAAAAATCAGTTTAAACTTATTGGAAAAGATTAATTTCTATCAGTATGAGCTGACCACAGCACAGAATATGAAGAATATTAAAAACATTAGGAGTCAGCTGTCTTCTGCAGTGCTTAAGATACCAGCACAATAACACACTCAGCAAAATATACTCCAATTATGAAAATATCGAGATATTATTTTTTGTCACTATCGCACACCCCTAGTATAAAGCAGCATTATAATTATGCATAATGTGCGTTGTAATACATAACATCTTGTCATTAATAATTATAATGGAATTTAAAATGCAAAGCGCAGCCATAAATTGTTAAGTGTTATAATGTATTAACTGTGGTATTCATGAGATTGAGAATGCATTATAAAGTGCATTACAAGCCATAATTAATGCATTAAAACACTTTTATAATGCGTTATGCATAAAGGCTTTAAGTAAAGCATCAGAATTGTGAGATATAGACTCAGAATTATTATTTTCTGACAATTTCGTTTTTTGTTTCCCCCACAGAACACATAAAAAATGTAATTATGACTTTTTCTCTCACAATTCTGACTTTCTCCTGGCTATCTTGTGTTTTTGTCTGTTATATCATGTCAGTTTCTGTCAGAATTGTGAGAAAGAAAGAAAAAACACCTAAAAACCTTTTATATTTTTATTCTGTGGCAGAAATGGGCTTCCATACATTTTGCATATTTGCATATATAACGTTATATATACATAGTAATATAAAAAAATCAGTTCTGGCAGATCAAAACAATACAACCGCATAAAAAAATCCGATGAATTCAATGAAGTAGACTAGACTAAGCAGCTTTTGTGAACTAGACGCATGATGCACAAAGCAACCCACAACAGTGTGTCCGTGTCTCAATCCTCGTGGCCTACACAGACAGCAGCATTCACAGCACCCCAAACGCGTGAGCCTGCGTTTAATCAATCAAAAGCGCAGTTATCCCCGACAGATGCTGTCTAGATAGGCGCCTCGGCAGGCTTTAGGACAGAGCCGTGATCTGCATCTGTGCTATCCGCTAACAGCCCTGGCTATCTTGTGTTTTTGTCTGTTATATCATGTCAGTTTCTGTCAGAATTGTGAGAAAGAAAGAAAAAACACCTAAAAACCTTTTATATTTTTATTCTGTGGCAGAAATGGGCTTCCATACATTTTGCATATTTGCATATATAACGTTATATATACATAGTAATATAAAAAAATCAGTTCTGGCAGATCAAAACAATACAACCGCATAAAAAAATCCGATGAATTCAATGAAGTAGACTAGACTAAGCAGCTTTTGTGAACTAGACGCATGATGCACAAAGCAACCCACAACAGTGTGTCCGTGTCTCAATCCTCGTCGCCTACACAGACAGCAGCATTCACAGCACCCCAAACGCGTGAGCCTGCGTTTAATCAATCAAAAGCGCAGTTATCCCCGACAGATTTAGGACAGAGCCGTGATCTGCATCTGTGCTATCCGCTAACAGTTAGCAGTCTCTAAACACGACAACACCAGCGAGCCCCCGCAAACCTCCCTCATTACGCGCATATTCGGGACCCCGGCGTCTGCTGAGCTGCAGATGAAAAGCTACTCACGAACTCCGCCGACGGGATTGTGAGTTTAATCGCGGAGAAGCGAGCGAGAGCGTGTTGAGGCTTCCTCTGTCACGTTAGCGGCGCTAACGCTACACACTCTCGCCGGTCTGAGCGCGAACATGGCGAGACACACACACAGCGCCCCCTGCAGCACTGGAGGAGCGACGGCGCGTCACAGCCAGCACACTACAGAACATGTCTAGCTTCATTTATTTGTTTATCAGATTGTGTTCAGTGTATCTGTTCTCTCTGCTGGAATAACCTGCTTAACTCCATCCGAGCAGCTGGGTCTTTAGCCATCTTCCAGAATCGGCTAAAAACACATCTATTCCATCTTTATTTGACCCTCTAACTCTAGCACTCTCTATTCTAATTCTATTTGTTTTTTTGTTTTTTTAAAGGCCTCAAACACTAGCTTTCTCTATTTTTTTCTATTCTATACTTGTTTTTTTGTTATATGTATATGTATGTATGATGTATGTACAGTATATATATATATTTATTTGTGTGTGTGTGTGTGTGTGTGTGCGTGCGTGAGTGTGTGTGTCTCTGTGTGTGTGTGTGTGTGTGTGTGTGTGTGTGTGGGTGCGTGAGTGTGTGTGTGTGTCTGTGTGTCTGTGTGTGTGTGTGTGTGTGTGTGTGCGTG